GTGTGGACAGGCTGCTCTTCAAACACTGGCCCGTAGTGCCTTGTGCTACTCTGTGCCTGGCACCAAGCTGCAAGAGAGGGAAAACCTGCTCAGCTCCATTTAGCTTTTTCTAAAAATTCTCGTTTTTAGTTTTGTAGGGTGTCCCTGGCAGCGTCAGAACTGCATCTAGAATAAAAGAAAGAGCAACGTGAGAATCGCAACCCATCTGTCACCGCAGCCCAGCCCCAGCTGTGGCTTTGTGCAGGCAGCGTGCGTTTCCCACGGAGCATCTCGCACCATCTCAGCTGTGCCAGAGGGACCAGACCTGCAGAGGAAGGAGTACCATGCACAGATGAGACTGGAGCTGGGAACCCCTGGATGCCCTCCTTGTCCCTGGCAGTGAGGACCTGCTGGTTCCTCCTGTGTCTGTACAAACTTCTTCTGGCTGGTTCCTCCGAAGTCCTCTCCAAGACAAGAGAGGGGAGAGGAGAACCTGGATCTTCGCAGCTCTGCCGCTGCCTCGCTCCACACGCCGGGCAGATCCCTCCATCCCTGCGTCTGCGGCGTCACCAGCTCTCAGTGACTCAAACCTGTGGCTTGCTGGTGTGCAAACCAACGCTGCAGGTATCAGTTCTGCTCTTCAGCTGACGGGATGAGCGTGAAGCTTCCTTTGCAGCGTTCAGACATGGGTTTGATTCTGATCTTGCTGTCGTGAGTACGGCTCAGGCATAGGTGCCGGAGGAGCATACGAGCCTGCCTGCCTTCTTCTGCGCTGTGTCTGGGCTGCCCTTCGGCGTGGCGGTGATGTTTCGCTGGACAGTGCCAGCTGCCCACAGTGACTTGGTGCCTCAGATAAGTGGCAGATGCTAGCAGACCCCCTTCCACACAGGCTTGATGGAAATGGCAGTGCAAAGACCTAAGAACAAAGCAGAAGCTGCCTGGATACCCCCTCAGTGCAGAAGCGGCTAGCAGGAGAACGCTGGCCAGCAGGTCTGCTCCCTCGCTGGCCCCCTGAGCAGTGCTGTCCCTTAGCGGGGATGGGGCCCCCTCAAGGCAGCGCGCTCCCACCACTGTCCCCCTCTGCCGCTGCAGTGATCAGCTCGGAGATGCTCAGCTAGCCCCAGCATCCTTCCACGCTTTGTAATTGAATTAATAACTGTCTTAAAACTGCCGTGCCAACCGGCAGTCTGTTTGCTTCCCTGCAGTACACAGCGTGGTCACTAGTTAAATGAAGTGACTCCAGTAAGTGTGATGTTTTATGCAGGAGGAGCTTCCAGCAGGGAACGGCCAGCTCAGCCCTCCTGGGCTCGGGGGAAGCAGCCCTTTACCTGCAGCTCCTGGGGTTCATCTCGTGTTCCGGCTGCTCTTGCAAGCGGAGATGAGGGTGAGACGGGAGAGGGGCTCCACTAATTGGCTCAGCGGGTTCGGAGCAGCTGTCGGCTGCTCCTTGTGTCCGAGCAGCAGCCAATTACCCCGGCCCTCGGCTGCTGTGCGGGAGCCGCGCGCGGGCAGCCCGACGGGCCCTGCTGTCACGCAGCGGAGAGGGGCTGTAGCCTGTGTCTAATACTTGGGAATACGAGAAAAGCAGCGTTCGGAGGGTCGTATTCCCTCCAAATCAAAGGGCCATTTTCCATCCGGAATAGTTACATTCACAAAGGAGAAGCTTGTGTAAGCTGGAAGGCTGCTCTCCGTTGGGTCAGCAGCGGCTGCGCTGAGCAAGTCTCAGCTGGAAATAACTCTGCTGACCAGCAGGTGAAATAATGATGAGTTAATGGAGAATTAATAAGAAAGTAGTGTATTAATTGTGTTCTGATAGATGGTAGTGAATGGATTAACGTTTCACAGCTTTACATTTTGAGATTGATAGGTAGCATATAGTAAATAATTTCTATTTATTTAACAAATAAAATATATATTATTATCACTCACATGCATGCCTTTTCTCATGGGATGCTCCTTCCCAATCAAGCCAAATTATGCTGATTATCCCTTCTGATTCCACCCAGAGCCTGCACCCCATTGCTCTCCACTGCTGTCTCCTTTTTTCTGCCAAGGTTATGGACTACAACTGTCAAGTATTGATTTTCTCAATTGTAATCAATGCCAGAAGTTCAGATGAGTTTTCATCTACAGTTCCAAGGTGTCAGTGTGGTGTTGGGGGTGAAATGCCTGGATCTCACTCATTAAGCAAAACAACAGTTAGATTAAAGTAATAATTAAACAGTTACAAGCTAAGGACATGGTTAGAACGAAGAACTGAGAGCAACGCAGGGCAGTAAATCTCAGTACCTCTGAGCGCAAAACAGACACCTGCCTTGGGCTGTTACCATTCAGGCAGCAGGGAAAAGACGAACACAAAATAAAGGTCTTCAAGCCTGCAAGCCAAATTTGCAAGAAACAGTGATGGACTCAGAATTGAGCATGCCTTATGCAGCCCTCCTTTCTCTGTTAAAATCCAGCTAGGTGAGGAGAAATTATGCTAAATGTGCTGCTACATCTGGCTAGAACAACATTCATTATTAGAAAATAATAAATATTAACACCAAAATAAATAGGAATAGGTGAAAAGTGAACATCTGCAAATTAAGATTTGGAAAAACAGCTGCAGAAATGATTGATGGTTTCAGACAGTGCTCCGAGAGTGGCTTGTGCTATTGTTTGGGAGAGCAAAATCATGTATTCGTGTGTTGTGAAGGAAATAGCAGTTTCTGTGAGCAGAAAAAAATCCTAAACTTTGTACCAGATATTGCTGGAATAAACAAATCTCAAACCTTATCTCCTTTGCCAGTGGAGCGGGCGGGGAGGTGGCTGCCAGTGCCTCCAGCGTGCAGCGGCGCTGGCCCGTTGCTGGCAGGCTGGTTTCGCGCTATTATTAGTGGTTGGAAAATGCTGAAAGCCAGACCTGGAACGCCCAGGTGTCGAGGAGGCTGAACGCCTTCCCTTTGTGCTGAGCTCTGCACTGGCGTTGGCGACCAGGGAATGATAAATGCCTCACTTGAACGTTTTCCAAGATGTATTCCAGTTTATGAGGACATCAGCAGCCGTCCTTTTACTGAGCACAGGCGGCACAGCCATAGCTCCGGAGCACTGACCACAGCCTGAAGCCTTGGCACAGGAGGGAGATGGGCAATTAATTGGTTTTATAGGAAATCTGAAGGCACACGTGCACAAAATCAAAGCAGTTTTTTTTTTAAAGGACAGCTCTGTGAGGAACAGAGTTATTTTTAACGAGACACTTTCTGAGGAACAAAGGGACAGCGCTTTGGCTAGCCTTAGACTTTGAGATTTTCCGTGGCTTTTACTGAATGAAGAAAGGCCAGAGAGAGTTTGAGACTTCCCTGACAGCCTTCTTCGTTAGAGAGTCGTCTCTGTGCACTTCATAAGCTTTAAACCTTTACGTGCTGCTGGGAAGCCCTCCTTTCGGTGGTACGGCCGGGGGAAAGGTGCCTTTGCCAACCCAGCTTCCCAGGGCTCGAGCCCACAGCCCAGACCTGGAGGCTTTGGGTCTTCTCCCACTCCAGAGTGTTTCCTTGAGCCTCATCTATAGCTGGCCTTTATTTTTTTGTCACTGGTCCCTCGCTCATGTTCCTGGTGAGGATTTCTCTGTCCCAGCTGGCTCCTGAGATCCATTGCATCATCAGCCAAAGGTCAGGAGAAAATAACCCTCGCAGGCTTTGCAGGGAGTCATTTTTTGTGGGCTCAGCTTGAATGGGGAGCAAGCTGCATGAACCCAGCTGGTTAATGGGAGAGCCCAACTCCATCTTGCTGCCTCCACCAGATTTGGGTCAGACCAATTTCCAAACAGGCTAATTGCCTCCCAATCTAGGGCAGCCACCCCTCCCTCTGCCTCCTCGGGGATCCGGAGAACATTAAAAGGTAATTAGATATTTATAAGGATGGGCGAGCGGTCTCTGCCTGGGATGATGAATTAGCTTGAAGACATTATCTAACTCTCAGTTGTCTGAAATGAAATGTCTCCCTGCTGAAAAGGGACCTTCGGAGCGCAGCCTGAGACTCCCCGAGATCCAGAAACGGTCCCCAATGAATGGGGGATTCTTTGCAGTCAGGGTATGGCCAAAAAGGCTTCCCTCGAAAAAACAGGAGGCAAAGTGGCTTCGCCGTGAGCCGTTCCCGCTGGCAGGAGGAAATTCCTCCTTGTGCCGAGGCCGGGACAAGCCCGGGCAGCACAGCTGCAGAGGGGCACTGGTCCTGCCCACGGCTTTGCCAGAGAATCCGCATTTCACTTAAATTTGAGTTTAGAAAGGGGAAGATTCATGTGTCAGCCGTTCCCGTCCTCTTCCTTGAGCCGTACAAAGAGAGGTTGGACGTAGCACAGACGCATCTGCCCGGGGCAATCGGGCTTCAGCGTCGCCGCAGCCGCCAAAGCCCTGGGCAGAGCCCGTAGGGGAGCGTCCGCTGGGAACCCCGGGCC